AATAATGATAATTTAACTTCTTCTTTTCCTATGTTTATTCCTTTTATTTCTCTCTCTAGTCTGATTGCTCTGGCTAATATTTCTAGAACTATATTGAATAGGAACAGTGATGGTGGAAATCCTTGTCTTGTTCCTGACTTTAAAGTGAAAGCTTTCAGTTTTTGTCCATTTAGTATAATGTTGGCTGTTGGTTTGTCATAGATGACCTTTATAAGATTGACGTAGATACCATCTATTCCGAGTTTCTGTGGAGCTTTTATCATGAACAGGTGTTGGGCTTAATTAAAAGCTTTTTCTGCATCTACTGAGATGATCATGTGATTTTTGTTTTTGGCTTTGTTGATGTGGTGTATTACATTTATTGATTTGTGTATGTTAAACCATCCCTGCATTCCTGGAATAAATACCACCTGGTAGTGGTGTATACTTTCCCTGATGATTTGCTGCAGTCTATTTGCCAGCATTTTATTGAGGATCTTTGCATCAATGTTCATTAGTGAGACTGGCCTATAGTTCTCCTTTTTAGTTGGGTCTTTCTCTGGTTTTGGTATCAGAGTGATACTTGCTTTTAGGAATGAGTTAGGGAGGATTACTTCTCTTTTGATTTCATTGAAAGTTTAAGGAGTATTGCTTTCAACTCTTTTCTAAATTCCTTATAGAATTCAGCTGTGAATTCATAAGGACCTGGGCTTTTATTTGTTGGTAAGATTTTAATCATGTTTTCAATTTCAATAGCTGATTTTGGCTTATTCAAAATTGTTATATCTTCTTGATTGAACTTTAGTAGGTCATTTGTTTCTAGAAGTATGTCCATTTCCCTGTGTTTTCCACCCTTTGTGAGTAGCGATTTTCAAAGTACATACTCATGATCTTTTGAATTTCCATGGGATCTGTAGTGATTTCTCTCTTTTCAGTCCTTATTGCATGAATTTGATTTTTTTCTTTTTCTTGCTAAAGTGGCTAGAGGTTTATGAATTTTGTTTATTCTCTCAAAAAACCCAGCTCTTTGATAAATTAATTCATTGTATTTTTTTAGTTTCAATTGGATTAATTTCTGCTCTGATATTTGCAATTTCCTCTCTTCTATGAGCTTTTCTATGAGCTTGCTCTTCCTTTTTTAGGTGCTTGAGATGTAGCTTTAGGCTATCTATTTGTGCTCATTCTATTTTATTGATGTGACTATTTATTGCTATATATTTCCCTCTTAGGACCACTTTCACTGCATCACACAGGTTACAGTATGTTGTATCCACATTTTCATTGAATTGTAGGTATTGCTTTATTTATTCTTTAATTTTACCTGTAGCCCACTGGTTGGTTAGAAGGTTGTTGTTTAATTTCTATGTATTTATGCCAGTTTTGTAATTTCTTTTGCCATTAATTTCCAATTTCAGTGCACTATGATCAAATATTATACATAGGATAATTTCAATCCCTTTGCATTTACTTAAGGATGTTTTATGGGTTAATATATGGTCTATTTTGGAGAATGTCCCATGTGCAGCTAAAAAGAATGTATATTCTGATGTGGTTGGGTGGAACACTGTAAACATCTACTAAGTCCATTTGCTCACAGGTACGATTCAGTTGTATTATTTCTTTGCTGACTTCCTGTCTAGTTGATCTATCTCTTTGTTACAGTGAGGTATTAAGGTCTCCTATTACAATTGTGTTCTTGTAGATCTGATTTTTCATGTGCATTAGTATTTGTTTTATGTAGTTGGATGCTCCTGTATTTGGTGCATATATATTTGTAATTGTTAGTTCTTCTTCTTGAAGTGTACAGTGTACAAGTGTGCAGTGACTTTGTCTCTTTTAATCATTTTAGGTTTGAAGCTCACATTGTCTGCAAATAGAATAGCTACCCCTGCTTTTTTCTGGGTTCCTGTTGCATGGAATAGTGTTTAACTTTTAATCTATGAGTTCCTTTTGAGTGAGATGTGTTCTTGTATACAGCACATTGTGGGATACTGTTTCTTGATTCATTCGGCCAACCTATTTCTTTTGATAGGTGAATTGAGTTCATTTTCTGAAGGTTTTTTTTATTTTATCATGAATGAATGTTGACGTGTGTCATGGTTTATGTCTGTGTCCCCCAGGCCTCATGAGTTTGCACTGTGCATTTGTGATTGGTTCATTGTCTAGTGCTTGGATTGATGGTGTCAGTGCTACATCCATATAGGGGTGGAGCCAGGATGTGATGTAATGGCAGGAAGAGGGTGTGTCTTGCTCTTTGCTAGTTCCTTTTTGCTGTTTGTAGCTGCCATGAAAGACAGCCCAGCCATGCCCGCCAGTCTTGGAGCCAACTGAGTGTGGACTGAAACCTCCAGAAACTGTAAGAAATAAACCTTTCCTTTCCCAACTTGGGCATCAGGTATTTGTCTCAGCAACAAGTAAAAAGTAACTAAGACAACGTGCCATCTTTCTGAATGGTTTCTCTGCTTACCATCTCTAAAATCAAATTCAATCTACCAATTGTAATGGCATAATAATAGTATCTACAGAATTGCAATATTACATGAAATTATGTATATAAAATTAATTTTATAGTTGACACAAAATCTCTCAGAAAAATTTGATGTTATGATTATTTATTAGTAGAAAAATTTACAATTACTGAGTATCTTATTTATTTGTCCCTTTTTGAGTGATAAATAACAAAAGTTACGGTGTTCATATTGTGCTAAAATGTTTAGCTTTACAAAACTAAAGGAATGAAGTTGAATTTTCATATATAAGCCTCAAGAGCAAATCCTTTAACTCAGTTATACATTCTTTGAACTTAAGTTTGAGTTCACATACCGTGGGGGGGGGGAATATATATATATATATGAATGAATTACAGAATCTACATATTGGTAAGGGTTGCCTTTCAATGATGATATATAATTTGAACTTATAGTTCATTTTACTTCTAAGAATGAAATGTTTATCCTTACATTTTTAAACATTTTTTTCATGATGAGATTTTTTCATGTTCTCAAGAAGTACATGATATATGATAAACAGGGAGCTGCCTGTACATAAAATCAAATAATTAATTTTCACCCTAAACTCGTGGCTATATATCACAGTTTTGCTGTGATTAGATGTGATTAGATGCAAAAGGAGCTGAAATAACACATATATAGAAATGTAATTTCTTTCCTTTTAAAAAATTAAAAAAGCAGTCATTAATGTAATTCTTATTTACTATTTTCCCTTTTAGATAATATATAGGAAGCAACATTTGTCATAATTTTATGCATATGTTTGAAATCTTGTATTTTATCTTATTTATTTTTTGAGGCATACTCTCAATATGTGGTTCAGGCTGTGGTTCACCTTGAAGTCACAGTGATCCTTCTGTTTCAGCGTCCCAAGTGCTAGTGAAATCCTGTGTTTCAGAACATTTAAGTCTTTAAAAAGTTACTTTAAATTTCTATAGCTCTTTCTCAATTTTGTTTTGTATGACTGGGCACAAAGATGGTAAGGATTCAAAGATATTATTATTCTATTTCAAAGCAATACATTTCTTTTAGGAATTTTGTTCTGAATAGTTTCCATTATGCCAATTTTTCTTTATATTTTCCTGTACAAAAGAGATGCCATTGACATTCTTCTGAATCCTCAAATAATGAAACAGATGAATATTCTTACAAGATACCTTTTTAAATTGCTGAGGATAGTAAGCAATTATATGTTATTCATTCATATATTTCTTTGAAATAAACCATAGAACTAATTTGACTTTTGCCCCAGCGGAAATAGTACTTTCTGACATAGAAAATAAATGGTCAAGTCTTGAATAATGAGCCTATTTTTAAAGGCTAAAAGCTAGAAGACTGGCTTACAAAGAGATGGATGAATGAAAATCAAATGTTAGCTCTCCCTAAAGGACGAATAACAGACATTATATTGAGGTTGTCATTGACAATGTAGTCACCAAATGCTGGCAGATCTTCATGGCACAGAAATGAGAAATCTATATACTGCATGTAACTGGCTTTGATTTCAGGAAGTAATTTCTAGGTTTCATATTTTAAAGCATCAATGGGTTTGACAATGCTATAAGATGTACATTTTGTCAAAATATTGACATTTTGGTAATGACGAAATGTTCTCAAGTAGGATCTATTGCTACTTTTGTCTACATTTTTTCCATTTATAAGTGTATGAGAGCTGGAAACCAGTGTAGGGCTTTTACCAAGTGCTAGGTACATAACATTTCAATTACATATTTATGAGCAGGGTTATCTGTTTTGCCTTGTATGCATATTGCAAGAAGAACTGAGGCACAATTCTGGGGATCCCCAAGCACTGTTTGCCCCCACTTTGGTGGTTCACAGTGTTGCTTTGGACAAAGCATTAATTTGGAGCCAGTGTCCATAAATCCTTGAAAGATGGTATTTTTCTTTTCCAGTATATGGTCACATTAGTAAGTGGCCTGAAATTACTTAAAGGAAGGATTAGAGAGAAAATTTTCACTATATATTTGGACAATGTAATCGTTTTCCTTTAAAGATACTCAAAGTTTTCTTCAGCCAGGACATGTGAAGTCCAGGATAAATCCACCGTGGAAACTGCATGAAGTGCTGTCTGTACCTGTTAATCTAGTTTCTGGCTTTGTGCTTTCTGTTACATGGGTTAGGCACTATTTTAAAACATTCCAACTGTATCATTTCTAGGGAAACCGTAATTATTGAGCCATTATAAGTTCCATGAGGGTCAAACCTTCAAACTACCACAATGTTTCTTCATTCCACTTCCCACTATGGAAATATGTCTGCTCTGTTTCTGGTGGGTAACTGTGCCACATGTATGTTTGTCACTTGAGGAGCCATCATATCACCTACAGTCAGAGAGCGTCTATCACTAGTGGCTTATTCCATTTTCCTCTGGCCTCTTCAATCAACTTCCTTAGTGCTTTGCAAGATATTGTTTCTCTCCTCTTGCTGATGTGTTTTTTGGTGTCCAAATGGAAGAAACACACTGTAATTGTTTATTTGTTTGTTTTCCAGGAAGATATGCTGCTCATGAGATATGGGTAAGTCTCACAAGATAATATCACTATGATAGTTTTATCTTAATAACTTTTAGGTTTCCATCTTTATATTATTCTAAGGAAGTTTTAGTTTCTCAGTCTCACCAAGAATACTTTTATAAACTCTTCTAATGATTAGAAAAAACACATGGTGTTCACAGTCTCTATCTGTGACATCCTATCAGCAAATTCAACTTAATTCAGAACTCAATTCCACCCTTTTTTGGTTCAACACACTTACAATCCATTTGCACATATATTCTTCACATTTATGCCAGTATAAGTTGGCAGCATCTTGCAATTTCTTTGAAGCATAAATGACTTACATTCTGATCACACATTGCCTCTATTTCTAGGTGTGCTGGCCTTATGAACAGGGACTGTTTCGTCAAATGCAAATAGAAAACAGGGATCCAGGCCACACATGAAGAAGAGCTGTTATCTGATGTCAACAGTTTCATCTTTACCCTGGGGCTCTGACCTCATGTCATCCTGATCTGTGGAAAGACAGCGCTAGAAATTTGAGGTTCCAAATGACCACCCTGATTGATAGTTACACTAAAATCTTATGAGACAAAATGTAAAATACTGACTCCACTGCTCCTGTCAAGGAAGAGTTGTTCTGCAACTAATTGTTTTTTAAATGGTTGTGCCTGTCAAGTATACCCTACATGTATTAAGTGTTCAGGAAATCCTAAGTCAAGGAATTGTTGATAGAAAAACATCATCACAAATGAGTAATATTTCATGGAGTTCTTAATGAATTTAAAGTACTGAATCAGGATGGAAGGCATACATCAGAGTTATCTGGTACAGACTTTGGTTGTATATGACTTTGGGTGACTCATTTAATTTTAATTTGATTTTTTCATGTTAAGTGAATAAACTAATACCACCTAATTGCATGCAGGTAGTTATAAAGCTAAGATAACCACAAAGTTTAAAGATGAAAAATAGATCATCTATAGACAACAAGATTTATCTTCCAGTGCTAAAAGAACACAAAATTCATATAAAATTTTAGTAGCTACACAATTATATTTCAGATTATAACTACCTGTTAAATCATATGGGAATTTCTTAGAATTTTGTTTTCTTTTCCTCTATGTCTGAATTTTACAAGATAATGTTTAAAAGTTAAAAAAAATACAGGCCTGCAATTTAGAATTCTTTCATAATTGGAATAGGCCTAAGGGAGAAAGTTCTTCTTTTTTTACAAAAAAAAAAAAAAGATTATGGACAAGTAAAAATATAAACATAAAGAAGTCACAAAGAAAAATGGATTGAAAAGTAACTGTTGATGCTGGAAAAGAATTAAGTAGAAACAGTGGGGAAATATTGGTAAAAACATAAAATAAAATGATGAGTGGTAAAAAGAGGAAATAAAATGGACAATAGACCATGTAATTCAGTGCAAGAACAGGGAAGAAATTCCCCATCAGCGCTCAGAGCTTCTGCATCTATTGCATTTGGCAATGTTTTAAATTGATGAGATGATAACTGACTTTTGTCCTATGTTCCTGATTTCTATGCCCAACAACTACTGAGAATTTCTCTTAGAGCCTGTAGCTGCTCAAACTCAGCATGTCCAAACCAATAGAAACTATTACATCTACTACCAGAACCCCAGTCTTTCTGTGTCTCTCTGTATCTGTCAGTCTCTCTTTCTCTCTCTGTGTCTCTGTTTCTGTCTTTCTCTTACTCTCTCGTTCTCTTTCTTAAACACACAAATGCACCAGTATACTGGGTCAATTTTCTCTCATTCTTTCTAATTTTCTGTCTTTTCCGGGGACAAACAATCACCCAAATCACGTATTGTTTCTTATCCATCTCTCTCCAAATCTAATTCACTACCACTTACTACTTATGCCTTCTAAAGATATCTATATCTTAAATATGTAAGTATTTGTCAATCCACAATTTTTATTCTTTTCAAAATAATTACAGAATTCTCCCTACTGATCTTCCTCCTGTGTTACCCTTATCTAACCTCTAAGCTCATAACTGATAATGCTACACACCTTCTTAGCATTCAAGCAGTTTGCTTTTACTTTTGTATACCTATTTAGCATTAGTACATGTTACCCAGTACTTGCCACTGATTGGTGTATGCTATTGTGTTTTCTCAAGAGGGACTTGCCTGTTTATACTGTGCCCTTGTACCTGTTCATTGCTGTATATTTGGTGTTTCCTCCATCTAGGTGACAAACTTTTATTAATCTTTTTGAAGCAAGATTAAGAACTCTATCCTCTATTGCATAAACTTCAAAATAACCCAAGATAGCACAGTTACTATCTTCCCTACACCACCACTTTATCTTGCATGTGTCATTGCTACATTACCAGGTGCCATGCATTTGCACGTCTACTTTGTCTAATAGGCTGTGAGTTTGTTGAAATCAGGCAATCTGTTTCCTCAGAAGCCAGCTCAGTACTTAGCACACTGAAGGTGTTCAGGAGAAACTTAATGGGGAAATTCATGAAAGCACAGCTTGAACTTTTGATTACAGGAAAGACATTAGCAGATCTATTAGTGTTTCTATGTCCTGAACAGAATGCCATTTGTGATGAGCTTACTGTGTTGCCTCCAGACTCTGATGCTACTTGCTTTCATCACTGACACTCCCTGGTTTTACTTTGCTTAAAGGAATAAATAGTGTATCTTTGCTTAACAATAAATATATTGATGAATGAGTTCTTAAAACTAAAAACTTTCCCTGTTTGTTCTACCTGTCTATATGATTCCTACTCCATGCAAGTTTTAACTTCAGCAATGAATCCTGCCCCTCTCACTTTGGTGAGAGGTATTTTGCTGCTTATCCTAGCTTTTGCTGAGGTGAGAACTCAGGTTGAGCTAAAAAAAAAACCTGTTGCAAGGTTTGTGAGCTCTATAGATAGCCAGAGGAAAGGACAGACTCTCAGATTAAATAGTTCTGCATTCCTCGCTTGTCCCATGTATCTCTCTCTACCCATAGTTGACCTCAGTTCATTTTCTCATTGGAAAGGTTTTTCTCCATTTTCCTAGCTGTGCTAGAATTGTAAATTGAACATTGAACAGCAGTGGGGTCTACATGAAAAGCACCTAATTAGGCTTAGATGTATCTTCAGTTCAGTTCCATAATTTTTTTTCTACAGACAGGTAAACTAACTGGAAAAAGGCTCACGTTTCCAAGTTAGCTATGTGCCCTCCCTGTGCTTTTTATTCTTTGGACTTGAAATTCAAAGTTTAGCATATAGTCAACTGCAGTTCAGGTGCTATGGTGCCTATTTTATGAGATATATAAAAAAGAAATATTTTGAGATAGAACTGTTTTAGTGCTTATGCTCATTAAGGGCATTTCTTCATTTGCAAACTAGAACACTTTGATTGATGAACTGATGTTGTCTGGAGTGAACAACCGACTTCTGTGAAGGGAGTGTGTAATATTTTTAGCAGTCACAGAGTGGTGCTTGAGATTTGATGACTATGCTTTCTAGGTTACTAGTTTTCAAAGCTGAATGACAGAATCCCAGTAGCACAATAAGTAACACCAGTAATCAACAAGTGATGTCCTATGAAGTTAGAAAGCTTTTGCACAGCAAGGGAAAAAAAATAACAGAGTGAACAGACAACCTACAGAATGGGAAAAAAAATTGCCCACTATTCTTCAGATGGAGGACTAATGTCTACAGTACACAAATAAATCAAAAATTAGTCCTCCCCCAAAAAATACTCAATCAAAAAATGAGCAACTGAAATGAATAGACATTTCTCAGAAGAGAAGTATAGATGGCAATAAATACATGAAAAACTAACAATGTCTCTGGCCATTAGTGAAACACAAAACACTCAAGTTCAGTCTCACCGCAAAAAGAATAGCTGTGATCAAGAAATCAAGTAATAAAAAATGCACTGTCAAGGCAGTGGTAGAAAAACTCTTCCACATTGTTGATAAGATTGTAAATTAGAATAACTACTATAAAAATCAATATGGAGATTCCTCAAGAAACTCCAACTAGAAATTACATTTGACCCAGCTGTTCTCCTTCAAAATATCCTCCCCAAAGCAGTAAAGACAGTTTGTTGCAGTGTTACTCATACATCCATGTTTATCCAGCACAATTAAATAGTTAAATATTGGAAATGGCCTACATGCCCATCAAGAGACAAATGAATAAAGAGAACGTGGTATTTATACATAATGGAGTACTACTCAGCCACACAGAAGAAAAAGCTTGAATCAGTTGTAACAACATGACTGTGTCTTGAGATATAATATTAAGTGAAATCAGACACACATCTTAAATACTGTATAATTTCTTTTATTTGAGAAACCCAAAATATAAATGAGGAGCAAAAGAAAAGATAATAAGAAGTAGGGAGATTTTTTTCCAAATTAGAAGCAGACAGAGATGGAGTGAGAGGACCAAATTGAATAGGTTTTTTTGTTTTTTGTTTTTTTTGTTTTGTTTTTTTTCACTAGGGATTGAAATCACGACCTTGCACTTGCCAGGCAGGTGCTTATGCTGCTGAGCTAAATCCCCAGCCCAGAGGACCAAATTAGAAAGTGGATCAAGAGATGGAGTGAGAAGTCCAGAAGGTTTGATAAAAGAATTGAAATGTACATATACTAACTCCCCATAAAAAATATAGGTATCTTATAATGTAGACCCATACTAATAAAAAAATAACAAAAAAGTGAGAATTCTCAGGACATTCAGGTTGTGATTATGGATGTGAATATCTTGACCTACTCATTCCATATGCATATATTATATGCATATATTAAAAATCTTGTACTATGTTCAGATTTTTGCTAAAAGAGCTTGTTTTAACTGCTCTTATTACAAGGCTAAAATGGGTAACTATATGCAATAATGGATATGTCACTTATGGTTTTTTGGTGCAGTTGATAGGTATGAGAGACAGGGAGAGGGAGAGGGAGAGGGCAAGGGAGAGGGAGGGAGAGAGAGAGAGAGGGGAGAGAGAGACAGAGAGAGAGAGAGAGAGAGAGAGAGAGAGAGAGAGAGAGAGAGAGAGGCCTTTACTGTGGGCACAGGAGGTCTTCAGAAGCATGTAAGATCCTTCAAAAAGGGGAGCTGGGAGCCGATTTTCATTGTTGTGTTAGGGTGGGTGCTTGGGTGATGGGATTCTTGAGATTGGAGAGGGCTTGACACATGTGAAAAAAGGGAGTGGAGGATTTTTTTTTTACCCCAGAACTAGAAGAAAAACACAAAAGTTACTTTTGGAGATTGTTTATCTGGGTGATGCCCAATTAGGTGGATGTTGTATTAGACATAACTAAGCCTCAGGCTGGCAGAATCTATCATTTAGATGCTGAGAAACCAAGCAACCAGCTTGCCTACCTGGTAAGCAGCTGTGGTGTGGCAGGCTGCAGCCACCTAAGGGGGAGAACAACCAGCATCTGCTGAGATCCACGCCATGTTGAAACTTAGGATGCTGGGAAACCAAGCAACCAGCTCGCCTCCTTGGTAAGTGGCTGTGGTGTGGCAGGCTGTTATGGCCACCCCCCGGGGAGAGCTACTAGTGTCTTTGAGATCCACACCATGGTGGAACTTAGGACACTGGGAAACCAAGCAACCAGCCTGCCTCCCTGCTAAGCAATAGTGAGCCAGTGCACAGGCTGAGAGTCAAACATCCCGCTTCCCCTGCCCCCTTTAGCAAATGGGAACCAGAGGTCTGAACATCTCTTGGGAGGTTGACCATGTGCAATATAGCAAATAAGGGAATTTCCTTCTACCATCTTTTTGAAAGCAAATGTTATTACTACTGTTTTGCTTTATTATGATTAATGGTACTGCTCTATTCAATATTCTGTTTTGATAAGTTCTATAATGTTTTGCACTTCATTTTATTTTGTTATACATGATTGAAAGAACAACTATTGTGAAAATAATGAGAGATACACTGTGATACCTATTACTGTTATCCCGGTAACGGGCTGTGAAGTTCTGTACCAATTTCACTACACTGCCTCAATTGGCTTTGTTCTGTCTTGTTCTGTTGTATTTTACTACCTTCA